TCCTTGACACAACAAGAAAAGTGCGGAAGATTAAACAATATAAAGAACACAACACAAGCAGTTTACGTGGAAATCTCCTTGCTCAAAGGAGTAAAACCACGACCTGTTGCACAGGATTTACAACCGTCTTCACTAATCTTCTCAAGCAAAAGCGAAACCCAGTTACAATCAATGTGAGAAAATGTTATTAATCTCATGATCAAGTAATCTACCTATTACTTGAAGATCTTAAGCGGATACAACACCGCCCACTAAACCACCTAACTCTAGATGACTTAGAATTTGACTAAGCAACAAACCAATGTTGCCCACTAAATCAGTTAACCTTAACTGATTTAGACTTTTACAAACCCAAAACAAATATTTAAATCCTTTATAGATTAGGAACATATTTACAATGTAAGGACATAGATACAAAGCTCTAAATACAACAAAGATTCTTCTTTACTCTATCAGGTCCTTCTGTTGAGTTGAGCAATGTTCTTCCTTGAAGATGGCCTTCTGTTCAAGCTTGTGAATTTTAAGAAAAAATCCAAGTTTAATTTGCCAAGTCTTAAATTTGTGTTTGTTGGAAAGAGATAATATAAATTCTCACAAATTCGTTGAAGTCATCCAATTGGGTGAAGGCCTGCTGTTGGAAAAGTTATGCACCTACCGCATCAGAGATGTCAGCTTTTCTGACAGCTGTCTTTTCGTCCTTTTCACGTCGCAGTCTTGTGGGTACCAGGTCCCTTGCTTGGGGGAACCAGGTCCCTTGCAAACTTCTATATGAGTTCTTGAAAAGTCTTACTGACTGACTTCCTTCTTTGGATGAATGAATATAATATGGTGTTTGTCATGCTAATAGTATCAAATATAAAGAGTTATTATCCGTTGGACAAACACCCTCCTCCATTCTGATTGGTGTAGTACATAGACGCCTTACCAACCTCTGACGTGACAGCTTTACAGCTGTAACCAATTATGTATCTGATGGAGGAAACTCTGTCTGGTATCAGGTCTCTGCATTTGTGAGATACTGAAACATACAATCTCGTCCGCTCTTCTTATTGGTGTAGGATACTGCACTTTTCACCTACCACCTGACATGACAACTTTTGTAACTGTACCCCATTTGTATTTGGACGAGAGCACTCTGCCAGGAACCAGGTCCCCGCATTTGTGAGGATCATCAAAACACCTAGAATATAACATTTCCCCCCTTTTTGATGATAGCACACAAATATACCTCACACTGAGTTTATCATTCATCTTATTGTCAGCAGTTCCAATAACAAGGACTTGGTTCCTTGTTAGATCGATAAGTTTGTTAAATCATCAAAACTTCATATGAAGTTCGAGCTATCATCTTAACTCAGCTTCGAATTAACATTTTCCCCCTTTTTGATGATAACATACTTATTCACCAGTTCCCCCTATCAAAAAGAATTCTTAGGGTAACTTGAGTTCATCATCTCGAAACTTGTCAACTCATCAAAATATCAACATAGCATTTTCCTCCTTTTTGATGATGACATACTTATTCATCAGTTCCCTGTATCAAAAAGAATTCTTGGGGTAACTGGAGTTTAATCATCCCTAAAGTTTGTCAAATCATCAAAACATCAACATATCATCTTCCCCCTTTTTTATGATGACAAACATCTTCTTCCGCCTATCGACAGGACCAGGTCCTCATCAAGTAGCAAGCAGCAAGCATTTATTCCCCCTATCAGTATGACCTATCTCTTCAAGTAGCTACCATTGATTCCTCCTATCGATGTGACCATGTCTTCTTCAAGAAGTTATAACACTATTGATCTCATACCTTACCTTAACAACTTTCCCCCTTTTGACATCATAAAAAGGGTTAAAGCAGTAAACCAAGTTGACAGAAATACAGTTCTTGCAAATTCATGGCCACTTGGGCAACACTGAGCATGATTAAAAGGCATAAAGTAATGAGACAAGTCATTAGAAACAAGACATTTAACATCCATAAACAAAAGATCAGTCATCAAAGCATTGCAAGTATGATTACAAATGAAAACCAAAACAATGCCAAAAGAGAGAAATGAGGACTGACATATAGAGGTAGGAAGAGAAGGGATGATTTAGAGGCAAGGGATTGAAAGAATAGAATTAGTAGAGCATATCCCTAGCATAAGAGTTCAAGAATCTTCTCTTAGCGTACAACATGATGTGCAACCCAACCTGTATGTTTAACCTTCAGGGCTGCCAATTTTTATTAATTTTTTTTTACTTTTTTTTGTTGGCACCTGGTCCCTCTGATAGTGTTGTTTCAGAAGTTGGACTTTTAAACAACCCATTTCAGTATTCCAGTTAACACGAGCAACTGCCATGGCTTCCAACACCAGCCTGAGTTTTTCATAAGAGAAAGATTGGTAACACAAACAACTCAAGGCCTCCGATATGAATAGATCAACAATTGAGGAATCAAGAAGATTTTTTTTACACCTTCCTCTTCAGAAAACTTTGAGTTCTCAGAATATCATTTTCTCCTTTTTGAGCATCATCTTTTCCACTTCTTCATTTTTCATGGAGGACCAGATCGCTCTTCACACTTAAAATATTTTTATCAAAGAATTCTCCAGCAAGAATCAAGGGGTTATCAATTTGAAGTGTATTTGAAAAGAAGAGAAAAGAGAATTTTGAAGCGCCTTGATATTTGGAAGGCAACTCAATTTTTCTGGGGAAATAGAAGAAATATGGAATATAAAGAACGAGAAAATAAGGTATCATTTTGGCACTCAAAAGATGAGACAACAGTCAGATTCTTGAAGGACAGACATGTGGCAATTTCAGTGGTTCTCATGCATAATTCAAACTGCAATGTTAAGATTACTAACCTTCGAGAAAGGACCAGGTCCCTCTCTGTAGTTTGAATGTCAATGCCTAGATCTATCCTGACCTCTTTTTTTCTTCATCCCCTTTTCCATGTGTGTATACCTACAAAAGGTATGAAACTGAATTTGCTAAAAAATACATAACCGAAAAGCAAGGATACCTGCTCCCTTTTCATAGTCATTAAAATAGTTGATTGCTTCAGGTAGGATCCATTCAAGAAGGTTTAGCATTTCCATCATCATCTTGATTAATTCAGCCAGATTTTTATGAGCTTCAAAATGTTTCCTGATCCACAAGAGTTGACCCCATCAAGCTAGACTTACTACATTTATTACCTCAGTTGATGAAAGAGCAATTGAATCTTGCCTTTTAATTCCACATGAGTGAAAGATCAGCGCATAACACAATCCACTCTTTAGGTACTCAATCTATCAGCTTGATACTTAGCATAATCAACAACACCATGTACTACAAATCAAAAAGTCTCCCAATGGACAGAATAGGACCAGGTTCTCTATCTTCTTCATATGACTTAAGATTTTCTCAGCAGCCTTCAAAATATTGTCCTTTGTACATGAGTAGAGTCTTTGAACTAGATCGATCAGCATCCAGCTTCTAGTTAGTGCCTAAGAAAGTATGAATTGTCTATACACCCAAAACATGAAGCCCTTTCAGCAGCTTCTTTGAACTGGTACCAGACATCAATCACCCTTGAATGTTGTGCTATCTTATTCTCTGTAGCTAAGATCCTATGAGAGTATTCGACTGGTCCGTGCTTAGAGCATTAGTGAAGATGTCATCCACTTGAGCTTCCTTCTTACAAAGCTTCATGATGACATTATCCGTATTCATCATTGTCTTAACTTCAAATATTTACGCCATTTGATAGCTCATTAATGTGCTTTTCTGGACAACAGAGGGTACCTTTCAAGGTGTGCTAAATCTGTAGCTCTAAGAAGAAATTTAATTCTTCCATTATGCTTATTTCAACACTCACTTTCAATGAGTGAAATAGAAATAAGATTTTCACACAACACATCAAAGATTGCCTCAAAGATGACATCATCAATATGTACATGAATGATCAATAGTTCCTTGCATATTGAATTCAAAGAGAAGAGTTTTTGACAATTTTACCTCTCTTGAAGACATTGTTGTGGAGCAACTTGGACAACCAATCAGCTTGTTAGGTAATCGACTATCAGAATTTTCTTCTTTCAAACTGAGCTTGATTAGCTTCTTCATTCTAACCTTTGAAAGTCACATTATCAGTTTGAACTGCATCATCTTTGCTCAGCACTGTCTAGAGGACCAGGTCTCTCATCAGGTTCATCATCTGCATCATCTTCTTTGAGATTGTTGGATTCCTGAAGAGGATGTTCTTCAGCAAGCTCACTATTTAAACCATCTCTCTGATTCTGAAGCAACTAATCTATCTCAAAAACTTATTTCCTTGCAACTTCTAAAATCTTCTAGACTCATCAATAAACACATGACCATTTTTAGTATACCCTTGATAAGCCTTGCTGGAGGAAGGTTGTACCACAATTATCCTTTTATCAATGTTGAGATCAAACTTCTCATTATCATCATTTTGGTCACAAACATGTACTATTTATCACTTCAGTTGAAAGTTTCTTGAAAGATTCAAAGTCAGCATATTTCACCTGAAGGAGGTATGATCTTCTTCTCCTCAATATCATCGTCACAACCTTTGTCATTTGCAAATATCATTTTATGCATACTTGGACCAGGTCCCATGACACAGGTTTGTGCAGCAAAGCAACACTAATGAGAACGTCTCCTTAATCATACCTCAGCATTCATACCTTGAGCATTAAGTTCAGTGAGACTATCACAATGAGTAGTAAACAGATCAGCAATATCCATGTTCTTACATCTCTTTTCTATCAAAATCATCGTCCGAGAGAGCAAGTTTGTGACAAAACAGTTATCTGATAAGAGCTTAGCTTCATTTCATTCATCACAAATCTACACCAATAATGTAGCGTTTCTTGGCATTCGCCAAAAGAGACACCTCCACCTTGAAGTGTCTTGAGAGAGAGAAAGTTTTGTAACCTTCTTAGTCATGTGTTTTGAGCATCTTCTATTTATAAACAAACACTGAGTGCTTCCTCTCTTCTGCACCAGAATTACTTGTTAGACTTAGGAACCCACTTAAAATAGAGTTCCCAATAACTGTCAAAAGGCTTAACAAGAAACCTTCCTGTCCAATGGGGCAAAGTGTTCTTGCTAAAATAATAGGGAGGACCAGGTCCCTTGCGCTCCGTTTCCACATTACTGTCGGATTTGACAAATTTAGCATGAAGACCAGGTTCCCGTTCTTTCTTTTCTTGATTATTTTCAGATCGGGCAAACTTCACATGCCTTTCTTTAGCTTTTTTCCGCTTTTTGGAATAATTTGACGAACTTCTTTCAAATTTTTCAAAAATTGGACAATCTTCCTTAAGATTTCCATCTCGACCACAATTCTCAGACAACAGATTATCAGAATCAGGAACATTTTTTTCTTCGAGGATTGTAGGAGGATTTCATCTTGTCACAGCCTAACCCTCTTCTACTGTTGTTGTCTTGACCGATCAGATTTGTAAGAATCTTAGAGGAATTTGTCCATTTGAGAGATTTTTCCAGTTCCTCTTTTACACGGACCAGGTCCTTCTCTAACTCAAAATTTCTTTCTAATGCAATTTCGGTCTTCATTTCAGCAGTGTGCAGCCTATTCTAAAGCTCCAGCTGCAATCTGCTAGCCTCATTTTTTTCTTTAAAAATTGTAGTAATCGCCCCTTTTATCTTTTCCTTTAGTTCTAGATTTTTTGCTTCTAGAACAACCATTTGACTTTCAATATTAGATATTTGGGCAACTAAAACAATTTTTCCATCTTGAAAGATGTCTAGGCTGTTGTTTATGAGATCCTTCTCATCTGTCATCTCACTTATCAAATCAAGTAATACAACAACCAACTTTCTCAACTTACTAAGAAAAAAAGGTATTCAAGTTTTTCTTGAAATAAGATAGAGTTACATTTTCATCAGAATCTTCCTCGTCTGACTTTGCCATGAAAACATTATCTATTTTTTCAGAATCATCTGAATCACTTAAGGATTTTTCCCATGCAGCCATTTCTCTTTTTACTGCCCCAAAGAAGACTTCTCTTCTGCTTATCTTGGGATGGACTAGGTCCCCCTCTTTGTCTTTACCTTCTGCAGATGTGACAAATGTCATGTGGCCAGCTTTGTGCACAGAAAAGTTTCCAATGGAGTGACCAGACAGATAACTCATGCCACACACTTCACTTGAGCTGGTAGCCTTGTCATTATTTTCTTTCTTAGGATCGGCCTCATCAACCAGATCAGTCTTCTTGTCTTTGACCTTGAGAAAGAGCCCCTCATTTTTTCTGTGCATCTCCTGAACTTGAAGATGCTCAAATAGTGTATGCATCGTCATTACATCAGGTTCTCTTGTCTCATTTCCAGTTACAAAATCATTTGTCCAAGATCTAGGAAGAATTTCTAGTATCTTAGAGACTTGCTTGACAATAGGAACAGGTTCTTCAAGAAACATGAGCTCATCTGTGATGTTGGAGAATCTGGTGCGCACTTCATGAATGAGTTCACCATCATTCAAGGTGAAATCTTCAAACTGAGTAGAAAAGAGATCTAGCTTAGATTTCCTTATTTCCTCAATGCCCTCATAAGTTGTCTTTAACAGATCCCAAATTTCCTTGGCTGATTCACAAGATGAAATCAGATCGTATTCATTTATACTAAGGCCACACATCAATAGCTTCCTTGCTTTATGATTTTTCTGGACTAATAGTCTGTCAGAGTCATTATATTGTTTTCTAGTTTTGGGAATGACTCTTGTGACCTCTCCATCTTTAACCTCCATAGTTGTCACATAAGGACCTTTACATATGACATCCCTTACTTCACTGTCCTCAGCCATATGATAGTCTCTCATCCGAATCTTCCAATATTTATAGAGTTTACTATCAAACAGAGGAGGTCTTGTAGGAGACTGATTTCTTTGCTTATTCAGTAGTGACTCCATTTCTCACAGGAACTTCTCTCTTGGTGTTAACCAGATAGAGAGCACCTGCTCTGATACCACTTGTTGCCAATATATTAGACTCAGATGCCTTATGCTTGGGCAGATCTCCTTCAAAGAAATTATCAGGCAGCATTTCTTGCAATGGACCAGGTCCAGTAGGCAAGCATGTGTTGTTTAGATCTATGGCATAGAATGGATTGTCAGGTGTGTCTTGCTGAGAACTAGAAGGGGCATTGGATCTGGACTTTACAGTAGACGGAGAGTAGAAAGCAAGTGACTCTATTTCGCTAAGAGCATTTAGCATCTGTTTAGAGGTAGAAGAAGGAGAAGACATGTTTGACAAATAAAGAAAAATGGCTTTTCGAACAGAGAGAAGAAGAAGAAGAAACAAAGTTTGCCTTTTTAATTTTTTCTTAAACCCTTCTTGAAACAGAAATAATGTTAAAGGACGGATGTGGATTTCAAAAAGAAGTAATGAGGGTTTTTAAAGGGCATGAAAAGGTGCCAGGTTCGTGATTGGATGTGTCGCTTGAGAGAGAAGCGATGGGACTAACGATCAGACTGACCGATGACTGACACGTGGCATTATCAACGGTCATAATTTTCAGTTTCAAATTAATGTATAAATGCTAACCTGGACAGGCACCAGGTACCATAGCACAGTTACATCCATATTCCCCAGTTGTTCTAGTCATTTTCTTTGCAAGGCCAGTTTGAAGGGTTTTTTCACGTTAAGCTTCGAGTTCTTTATCGTTATATTTTCATTTTCATTTTATTTTTGGCAATAAACTGTGAATATTACTATACGAAAAACAAAGTATTACAATTTTGAAAACTAAACAAAATTATAGCATCTAGCTATTAACTATCTACCGCACATCCTATGTCTTAAATCCTGACACTTTCTTGCTTTTCTAGACTCTTTTACTCTTTCTAATCTAACTAATAACTCCTTTATTTGTGCGATATTAAAATTTGTTTTTACATATTTCTGCCTAAACTGCCTCCAATTCCTCGCTTGCCAGGTATAATAAATTGTTGCTCCATACATCGCAGCTACTGCTTCCTTCTTCAATTGCTTCCAACATCTTGTTTTAATCCATGCCAATATTTATTGAATTGTGCCTCTTAGCATTGTCACACCCATCCAGTTATCCAACTCCTTCCTCACTGCATTCCCCCAATGATAATCAGTAAACAAATTTTAATGTATTTCATCACTCTCTTGCTCACACAAACCACATGCTACATCTTCAACTTGTATATGCATATGTTTTAGTCTATATTTTAGTGAGCAATGTTCCTTGGTATGCAATCCATAAGATAAGCCTTTGTCTAGGCTACATAATATATAGAGCTCCAAAGTAAGTCTGCCTTTGGGCATTTATATAGCACACCTAGCATGTCTTGGTAGCTACTTGTCATTGAGTATACGTCATTTGATGTCAAAACATATTGTTCCCCTTGATACCATGGGAGCATTTATGTCTTCAAAACATTTAGTTTCTTCCAATACCAACTACAATTTCGAAATGGTATGTGCTCTCCAATGTTATCGGTATCCTTCATATAGATCTCATGTACCCACTTGACCCATAATACATCTTTCTTACTTGCCAACTACCATAAAAGCTTCCCGACAGCAGTTATATTCCATAATTTGCACCTCTTGATATTTAATCCTCCATACTTTTTTGGTAAAACATACCTATTTTCTTGTGCCCTTCCGATCTTCCCCACAAGAACTCTCTGCATTTCATTTCTACTTCCTACAACACACTTTGTGGGACAAAACAACATTAACTATGTGTAGTCTCCCGGCATATGACAACTGCCTCGAATAACCTAATGTAATTCTCTTTATAATCTTTTCCACCAATTGGTAACAATCCACCTTTTCCATTTTTTGAGGATAGTGACAATTCCAGATACCGTATAGGTAGTACATCATTGAGAACCTTGTACTATACAAAATTCTCAAATTTTCTTCCTCAGTCATTCCAACAAGAAATATGTTATATTTCTACAAATTTGCTTCCAAGCCAGTCACAACACTAAAATGTTTCAAAGCCTCCATCACCCTTTTAATATATTTTATGTCTCCTTTGCAGAACACTATTAAATCATCTGCAAATATTAAGTGTGTGCATTTCGTTGCTTTGCACATCGGGTGGTTCATAGAATATATGCCTTCACTTAACAGAATAATGGACCAGGTCCCTTACTACACTAATGAATATAACAAGAAAGTTAAATGCAGTAAAATCAACACAATGATTTTACGTGGAAACCTCCTTGCTTAAGGAACTAAAACCACAACATGTCTCACAGGATTTTCAATCGTTTTCACTAATCTTCAAAAGCAAAAGTAAAACAGGATTACAACAAATGTAAGAAGAAGTTTTTAGTCTCACGTTTAAGCAATAGTCTCTATTGCTTAAAAAGCCTAAGTAAAAAACAATCTACCCACTAAGCTATCCCACTTGGACAACCTAGACTTTTAACACTACCCACTGATTCCTTTTTAGTTTCAGGAATAGTTTACAATATAAGAACAAGAGAATATATTCCTAAATAGTTACACTAAAAGCTCCAAAGATTTCTGCTGTTCTTGGAATAATTTTGTCTTTGCTTGGTAGTAGCCTTTGCAAGAGTTCTTGGAAAGTTTCTTATCAAGTTTCAAAAAAAAAGATGGTTAGGAAAGTGTTTTTTATATGGACAAGTCACTTTCCTTAAACTCTTTGTCATTGGTTGGAGAAGTCTCACTTTCTGACACCATCGGGAAGTGTGCACCTACTTTCTGTACCGTCTCCAGCTGGCAGTCAACAGACTCGTCACCATGAGAGCCTGGTACCTCTACAAGGTCCCTGGGTTTGTTTCATCTTCAACACTCAAGTAAGAAACCTGGTACCTTTACAAGGTCCCTAACTTTGTCAAATTATCAAAACTACAAATAACATTTTCCCCCTTTTTGATGATGACAAACAATGATCTAAGATCTTCTCCAACTTTGTTCCCCCCTTCTATATTCCCCCTCACTGTATTCCCCCACATGTATATTCCCCCTCACTGTATTCCCCCAAGAATAATCATTTAGCTACTTACAGTTTTACTTCCCCCTTTTGGCATCATAAAAAAGATATGCAGTAAACCAGTGATGTCAACAAAAATACTAAACAAGATCAAAGCTAAAGAGCAAACAATCAGTAAGGGAAAAGCATTCACAAAAGAGGATAAATAGAACAACAGAGGAATAAGTTAACCAGCATGCCATCATAACATTAAAAGATTAAAATCAAACTGAATATCCATCAACACAAAGATAAGCCACAAAAAAAATCAACGCAAGAGAGGGTTGTTTAACAGGCTAGGGGGGATGAGACAGGGACTGGATGATGAGAGCGAGTCTTGCATTGGCAGCATCATTATCTCTAATAGCCTTTTCCTGCAATGCAGTAATCTTTGCCTTCAACTCTGCATTCTCTCTCTCCAGAGCTTGTACCACTGAAGAACCAAGTCCCTCATGCTATGCAGTAAGCAGTTCTGCTTTGAGTATAGCGATCTCGGCCTCTTTACCACTCAAGTGCACAGTGAGCTCCTCAACTTTGTGCTTAAGATGAACCTGATCTTTAATAAGTTGAACCATCTTGCTCTTTGGATAGCCTCTTCCTTCAATGCACTCGCACTCAACCAAGGTACTCTCAGAGATAGTCTGTTTAACCGTCCCAACCTTTCCAACAATGAGAGGAATTTAAAAATGTTTAAATACTTCTGTGAGGAAGTATCCGTAGCCCATTCCATGAACATCTTTCCTCTCGATGACGGTTTTGTAGATATGCTCAAGCATTAGACCTGGGAGATTCAAGGCTTCGTAGCTACACAACATCTCCATTACAAATAAGTCAGCAGCAGTTGCTACTATCCTCTTTTCAGTGCGAGGAAGGAGAACTTTGTTGATGAAGGAGAACTTTGTTGATGAACTCAAAGACCAACTGGTACTCACTCTTCATGATTTTCTTATAAATCGCAACAACCTTGGTTGTAGGTGCCTTAGAAATCACAGAAGAAAACTCAGAAGAGCAAGTTCTGCGCAGCACAGACCGGGTCCCTTCTCTAGGCACCCTGAGAATTTTGCTCAACACACCCTCATCTAGATGTATAGCAATGTCATTAACCCGTGTGAGGATGCTCCCATCATGCTTGAATTGAGCATTATAGTAAAATTTGCGAACTTCTTCTTCATGGAGGATGGGGGATTTTCTGTTGAACAAGTGTAGCCAAGATTGGATCTCTACCATATCGTGAAGAGAGTCCATGCCGGGAAGAGTTATGATTCCCATATAAAAAATTCTTCCTGCCAAGACGGCTTGCTTTCTCAGGCTGTCAAAAACTTCCTGCATATTGACACTCTCATCTCTCCTGGCTTGGGTACCAGTTCCCTGTGACCTCTTCCTTTTTCCCTCAGAACTCTTCTTTTTCGACTTTGTGTTTTCAACCTTCTTTGAAACCTTTCCCTTTTTCTTCTCTGACCTTTTTTTCTTAGTTTTCTTTTCCTCTTCCTCACCAGACAACTCAACCACATTAGTCTCAGGCATTTTGAAATTTGATACCTTGAAAGTTCTGGCACTTCTAACTGCAGCAGTAGAACGTACACTGGCCTTCAAAGCATCAACCATCAACTTTTGAGCAGCAGACCTAGTGGTAGGTCTTCTCCTAGGGGCCTCTTTGCTCAACCTTCCATTTTAAAGGTTCCTCTTCACTTTCAGAGTCAGAGGAGGAGGAAGAAGGGTACCTTTCTATATCAGGAGTTTTATCAAAAATGGGTTAAGTGTTTCTTACCTCGTCCCTCTGTAAGACTTCAGTTTGCTCCGCCATTGCTTCTTCCCTTATCATAG